ACTTGAGGACTACCAACAGACGCAAAAACTAAAACTAGCACATAGTGATTTTCCAAGTGTAGTTTAGATGTGGCACAAGGCCGAAAGTATAGGGCAACCACTTTGGATCGAACTCAAAACTCAGTTGTAATCATTCTAGCGAGACAAGCTTGCTAACCATCACACCTCCTCGAGGTGCCCCTAAACTAGCACATATAACCAGAAGAAAACATAATTAAAAACAGAGCCAGACCAAGGGTAGAAGCCTGGGAGTCACCTGCATTAAGGATCTAGAAGAATGGCCGGTCAGGATAACTTTCATTTTACGATTTGATAAGAAAGTCTGGAATTTGGCCGGAGGGGCCGTAACTTTTCAACTTGTGGAGAAGACCTGTATGCCAAACCCTGCCGATAGCTGGAAGGTTCGGACAGTTCACCTGAGTTCTTGTAAAACGGAACAACAGATGAGGATTTCCAACAGGCAGAAAATCAAGAGGCAACGAGACATTTATTATACAGTTTAGAGAGAACAAGAGCCAGTTCGGGAGCACACTTCTTAAGAACTATTATAGAGATACCATCAGGTCAGCATGCTTTGTGGGGATCCAAACTAGGGATGATGACGGAAAACATAGAGGAGGATATATGTATATCACTCGACAGATAGTCAGTTCTAAATGGGAAGTTAGGCAATACTCTAGATGGGAGTAAAGTTTAAGTTCAAGGAGAATTTACGAGCGAATCATTCAGCTTTATCAATTGATATTAACACCTCAAATTCATTGAAGAGTGTAGGAATAGAAAAATACACTTTTTTAACACATTATTACAGAGACACCAGTAACCATGACAGTCAAAGATATTAGATGCAATACGATGTCTTATTCTCTCAGCAAACAGAAATGGAGCTCCTTCGATGAAACGTTTATATTTATTACGTGCAGCCATGAATAGGCGCCTTTTGTGGTGGAAACTGTCACGCTTGTAAAGGCAGAAACAGGGGTTCCTGTAGGCTATAGCGACAGAATTTGCTGGTGCGAATTTTAAACGGAACCTTTATTTAATCAATGCTGGCTGATTGTTCTTTTTCCACTGTCTCGGGACATTACGTCGTATTCTATTGAACTGAACTCGCATTTATTATGCCACCAAATATACGAATCAACTCCTCAGTTGAATCGGCTACTGCCTCGTGGGCTAAACCTGAAACTAAAACTTGCAACCTTAAACGGAATGTTCTTATTTAAGATTGACGTTTCACCTGGTACTTCTAAGAAGGAATGAAAACATCTATACCGGATTTGGCCCAAAAGAGACCTCAGCGGCCCAGTTCTTAATTTGAAGGTTAAAAATGTCATCAGACCAGGGGGCGTCACGAAGAAAGTCACGAAGAGAATCCCAATCAGCATGCTGGTAACGGAAAGAGTGATTCTACTCTAATAGATGAATGGAACTAAATATCAATAGATACTACAGAGTGATACGAGTTGACAAGAGGGCAGTGTCGCGATGATCGGCAAGGACTTGGAAAGGAGTTAAGAAATAAATCAAATAAAGAAGCCTGTTGTTCAGATTTGATAGGGAAACGAGTAGGGAAATCCACGATTTGAGCAATAGATTGAGCAATGGATTGAGCAATGGAAAATTGAAAGTCTGAATGCCGGCAACATAAATAACATTAGTATCTTTAAGCCACGTGTCATGATGCGTATCAAACTCTCCGTACACAAAGATGTTCGACGATTGATGAAAGGAGAGTGACGTTTTTTATAGTGCCAGAGAGTCTAGTATGCTGCAGCCCTGAGAAGAGGGGGGTGGGCGACGAAGGAAGTATAGGTAGCTAACAGAGTATAATAATGAAAGTCGTAAGCCATAATCAAAATGTTGACATGTAACACCATTTCAAATAAAATGTTAGGAAGAAAACCTCAAATTAATACTAGAAAGAGCGACAACAGCTACTGAACTTGAGAAACCTATTTTTCTAAAAAGCGAAAAATTCATAAATTTGAAACGAAAGCAGTACTGGCTGCTCGGTCCATAAATACCAAATGTTTCCTTATAGGGAAACAACTAATATGACCATTATCATTGCCAAATAATGACAACTTCTCACCCTATAAAATGAAACAGAATAGATAAATTTCCACTACTGTGATTTCATCATCTTCGGTATCATTAACCAGTAAGCTAAGATTAGATTGATGAAAACAACGAATCTCGGGAAACCGCGCTAGCAAAAAGGTTAGTTTTTCTATGAAATTTTATGTCTTAAATTGATATATATATATTTCCTTATTTGAAATTATATTGGGCAGATTTTATTCGTATAATGTTTTTTTACTTCTTTTTTTTTTCAAATGAATAATTTGTAGATTAGTTTTTAATTGAATTAAATATTGTTGAAACTTGAATAAAGCATGGAATAATAATAATACAACACAAAATGTACTTAAACAAAATGTATTGACACAAGAACGTGTACACAATATTTACAGATAGTTTGGTATATTCTTGGGAAGACCGTTCCTGTAGAATGGGTTGACTTAGTCGCAGTCGGCCAGAGTCTCTGGATTGGGTCTCTTCTTCCTCCCACCGTCTTCCCGGTACCAACCATATTTATATGGTCGGTACTCCACTATGTAAATTAGGTGGATCCTACCACAACAAATATATATACGAGATTTGCCTGAAAAGTAAGGGGGTTGCGTTTGCTGTGTGAGCTGTGGGCGAAAAAGGGATAAGCGGATTGTGTTATCATGTAACATATCTTAGGAGTATATAATTGTAATCTTAGATATTTGCCGTTCCTGAGTATGACGATAAACTACATCAGCGGCCTGGGTGACACCATAAACGACATCTGACAGCAAGGCTTTTGATCAGGAGATTTTGAGGTGCGTGGAACCACCTCTTAATTGTTGATGTCCACTCTAACTCGGGGTGGTAGCATCTGTTATGGTGCCAGCTATAATAACCAAATTAACTCAGTATTTCATATTATTATTATTATTATTATTATTTTCTTTGATTTTTGGTGTTTACACATTTCTTTCCGGGTCTCGCCCAGGGACCTTAGGTTAGAAATGGCGTCATGACACTTTCCACTGACAAAAAAAAAAAAAAAGAATTAAATTACATAGATAAAGCCCTTTGTAAGGTGTGGGCTGTACTTGTCAGAACAATTTTTTGTATCTCCTTGAGGCATGGACTTCCAGGAATCCTTTCAATTAGTCTACTGCAATCTTTTCCAACCAGTCCTAGGGCTCCAACTACAACAGGGATTGTTGATGTTCCCATATGCCACATTTTCGAGATTTCTATTTCAAGATCCTTGTACTTTGATAACTTTTTGAATATCTTCAAAGATACATTGCAGCCAGCAGGGACTGCCATATCAATAAGGAGGCATTTATTATTATTATTATTATTATTAATAGTAGTAGTAATAATTCAATGTCAATTGTTATCTTCCGTTTTCTTAATTATTTTTCATTTATTGTTCTCTATCAGTAATAATATTTTATTTTACTCATATTCTCTCAACCTCAGTAACTGTTTGCACCTTAGTGGGTGTATTGCCTTGCTTGTTGGTGGGTGGGTGGGGGTTGGTGAAATGATTAAAAAAGAATTAGTATCAGTAGTCGTACTAGTAGTACTGCAGTTTTTATTAGCTGTTGTGATAGCGGCGGTTCTTGGAGTAACAATGAAAATATTTTCTTCAGAACTAAATATGGTAAACCTAAAAAAAAAAAAAAAAGATCAAATGGAACTGGAAAGTCCAATATTTTGGGTGCAAGTAGGAGATGGAAAGAACGCATTTATAAAAATGAATTCTTAACCCCCCCCTTACATTGGAAAATATGTGCACAATTGTATAAAAGAAGGAATACCGAATTCTGTAAATAATAGAAATCACGGGAAAAAGTCATGTATGCACTTCATCTCTCTCTCTCTCTCTTTCTCTCTCTCTCTCTCCCCACCCCCCTCTTTTCACTCTCCCTGGCACGACCCTGGTTCTAACCCCAGACTTCATTATACATGTGCGATTGCAAACTCTCCCTCTCATCTCTCTCTCTCTCTCATTCTCTCTGACGTACACACTGACTCGAGGGTAAAAAATATATAAATACAAAATGAAATAAAATAAAAAATAAAAAAAGCATGTATACACAATCCATCTAAGTTGAAGGCAGAGCGGCGACCCAAGAATATAACTATAATATGAAAATATTGAGAGTGAGAAATAGAGTTGTAAAAAACAAATTATTATTATTATTATTATTATTATTATTATTATTATTGACTTCACATCACTGTAACTTCTAGTTAACGGAAGCGAATAATAAATTTCCTGAAATATCCATAATTTTTTTCTTCTTCTTCTTCTTCTTCTTCTTCTTCTTCTTCTTCTTCTTCTTCTTCTTCTATTATTATTATTATTATTATTCATTTTCTTTTTCTTCTTTCTTTCTTTTTCTTTCTTCTTTTCATTTTTGTTTTATGTCTATTTTCAATCATTCTCTCTTTTATTTTTCTTCTTTTATTTATTCTTCTCCTTTTTACATTTCTTTTTCTCCGTTTTTCATTTGTTTTTTCTTCACATTATTCCCTCCTTTTATTTTCTTGTTTTTTTTTTCTTATTCTCATGTCTCTTTCCTTTTCCTTTTCTTTTCTTTCTTCCTCTCATTCATTCTATTTTCTTACTTCTTTTCTTTCTTCTATTTATTCTTATTCTTTATTCTTATTTCTCCCCCTTCTTGTTACCTCTTTTTTTTCGATATATTCTCTCCTGTTCATATTTCCTTTACTTATTCTTTGTATTCCTACCCTTTTCTTCCATTATTATTATTATTATTATTATTATTATTATTATTATTATTATTATTATTCCTTTGAATCATCATGATCAGTGGTAATAATAGTGATGGCAGTAGTTGTAAATGCCGGTAGAGGCCTGATATGTCTTATTTTTTCCTTCTGTCTACAAGTCTTCTTTTTTGATAATTCAACGAGCGTAATCATGTCGGCGAGTGGATGGGAAAGAACTGTGTGTAGAGGGACAAAAGTAAAAAGAGCACCAACAAATACAACGGAGAAAGAGAAGAAGACAAAAGACAAAGAACAGAGAGTGACGAAGACAGAGAGAGAGAGAGAGAGAGAGAGAGAGAGAGAGAGGGGAGAGACAGAATAGGAAAAATCAGGAAAATAAAATCAGAAATCAGAAGGAAAACTATAAATAAACAAGTGAAAAAAAAAACTGTGAAAAATAAATAAAGATTCAAATGAAAAAGAAATATACGAAAATTGATAAAGATGAATAAAAATGGACGAATCGTTTTAGGCAAAATTCAGAAAAAATACTTGTTCCTGATGATAATAGTGGCAACCAGGCTAATGGCGAAATTATGAACATGACGACGATGTTGATAGATATTGTTACAGAAAGCGCAAATTTTGTACAAATATGAACGTACCGATTGTGGTAATATTATTTTGAGAATGTTACTAGTACCATAATTATTCGTGCAGTTCTAACATTCTGCTAAATCATTATGGAAGAAGAAAAAAACATCTATCGTGCATTGATCTTTACTATTTGCAGCAACTAAATTCAAAAAAATTATTCATTTTTTTTACCTCGTTCGTATCGATTAAAATTAAGAATTTATATAGTTTTTATTAAGTTTTTAATCACAAAATTTACGCAGTATTTGAATTTTCGTAAACAGTGAAATTTATACCAACCAAGACGTCGCACTAAAAAAAAAAAATGTTCCTGCTGACAGGAATCGAACTAGTATCCCCTTTTTTTCATCAGTGAAAACAATGCTACTCCTCGATCTAACCCTATTTGTATTAAGAAAGGTAAAAAAAGAAAAGAAAAAAGAAGAAAAAAAGCGTTATCAATGTAAAAACACTAAAAATAAAAATTTCGGATTAAAAAAACATTTTAAACTTATTGTGTTCCCGTGTCGTCCACGAGAATGAAGCTAACGGTTGTAGATTCGAAAAAGTCTGTACGAAAGATGTGCCTTTCCTTAAATAGATAAGTGGGTTTTGCATTATCAAGTTGCTCTCCCGTGGCCAAATTGGTAATGGTACTATTCGGTTTATAGGAGAGATTTTCCTTGATGGGGAAAGGGGAATACCGATCTTATCTCTGTCGGCAGGCACATATTACTTTAGATGAACGACTAGATCTAGGCCGGTTGGTAATAATTTCACTGTTAGAAAACAGAAAAAAAACAAAAAAAAAAAAAAAACGATTTCAACTCAAACACCTGTATCCATTAAAAATAAAGATTATAGCAATAAGAAATAATCTTGGATTAAAAAACAAATCCATTTAAAAATGACAGTATTTAGGGCAAAGCGAACAAACATGTTCACATGAAAATGCAACCAGCTTGCGGCGAAAATAAGCCCACAATTGGCGAAACAAAAATGTAAAGGAGGTGACTGTAGATGACGACAGCAAAAATGACAAGAAAACATTTATTACGCTGACAACATTACGTGTATGATACTGTCATGGCGTCCATATTTGACACGGAGAACAGTGAAACACTAAAAGGTGAACAATTAAAAAGTAACAAAATCAGTGTTTGTTTCATGATTTAAACTGTTTGTTACTCGTTTGTTTAGACCAGTGGCTCTTAACCCTTTTTTACCCATGGACCCCTTTTTCCTTTCTTTTTTTCTTAGTGGACCCCTTAATAGCTATTTGACATAAGACAACAATATTCTATTTTTCACTAATAAAAAATTTGAGGTTTTAATAATCAAATAAATATGATATAATTAAGCTTTATTTTTTAAATGAAAATTAATTTAATGTAAATAAGTTATTCTACAATAATAATAATAATAATAATAATTCTATGGGACTACACAATACACACTGACAGAACAATCAAAGCCAACTGCCCAGATATTGTTATTAAAGACCACAAACAAAAACGGTGCCTCCTTGTTGATATGGCAGTCCCTGCTGACTGCAATGTATCTTTGAAGATATTCAAAAAGCTGTCAAAATACAAGGACCTTGAAATAGAAATCTCGAAAATGTGGCATATGGGAACATCAACAATCCCTGTTGTAGTTGGAGCCCTAGGACTGGTTGGAAAAGATTGCAGTAGACTAATTGAAGGGATTCCTGGAAGTCCATGCCTCAAGGAGATACAAAAAATTGTTCTGACAAGTACAGCCCACACTTTACGAAGGGCTTTATCTATGGATTTTTTTGTCAGTGGAAAGTGTCATGATGCCATTTCTAACCTTAGAGTTCAAGGGACCCGGAAAAAATGTGTAAACGCCAGAAATCAAAGAAAATAAAAAATAATAATAATAATAATAATAATGGTAATAATTTTTATTGACCAATATCTTGTATTACAATATTACAATACTTCTTCCATGGTCAATTCCATGGTCAATCCCATGGGGAGCAAGTGAATTCAGTCCAGGCAACTGAATTCACTGCAGCATTTATTTATGAGCCCTGGTTAAAAACTTTAATAAACTAATTTACATAAGTGTGCGATTAGAAAAAAAAAAGGAAGGCTTATTTATTCTGAGTTGGTTTTCTTCATGGATCACCAAATTATCATTGTTGACCCCCAATTTGTTATATTTTGCCTGTGGACCCTCAGAAATATTACATGGACTCTTAGGGCCAATGCAGACCCCGGTTAAGAACTCATGGTTTAGACCATAGATACAACTTTCGTCACAACGTCACTGGTATTGCAACAGACGCGGCCGGAATAAATATTTGATTCTCGTGTATAATATGCACCTCTAAGTTTTAAGCTTTAAAATCTGGAAAAATGCTTATTATTCACGAATAATCGTTTAAACACTTTACAATGTTCGGACTGTTGTCCTCATCTTCGTTGCCATAACCATGACGTTTCGGTCGTTGTACGATCCGGCCTTCTTCAGGGGATTAGAATTTCGAACTGAACCCTTTATTTCGTTCACCGGAAAATTGTTCTAATTCCTCGTGCCATGCCTCTTCTGGATATCTCAGTATCAGTTATCTCCCTTTAATAAATTCTCAAATTTATCTTAAATAAAGTTTTAGTTCAACTCTGCTGTAGAAAGGTATTGAACCCACAACTCTTTGGGTCAATTCACTTAATCCAACCAACGCTTTTATCCACTGGGCCATGTATCTATATACATAATTACAATACCACAACTCAGAAATATAGACATATCCAGTAACCGTGTTAATACAATCAACAGAAAAATACAACAACAACAACAACAACAACAATAACAATAATAATAATAATAATAATAATAATAATAATAATAATAATGAATCAGTGGGTGAAGAAATACAAGTAAATGCATAAGCTGCAAAATACTTAAGAAGAAAGCAAAGGCAAATTCGACAGACCAAATACAGAAATAATGGCAAGGTTAACCGCCTATGGTTAATACTCTGCCCGTATCAAATAAGGCGATGTAGACAAACCCCGTACCTATCAGTGGTTACGTAGTGCAGGGTTAAAAGCTGAAACCAAAGGTTTTATTCTTGCTGCACAGGACCAACGCTTGCTAAATAGAAATTACGAAGCACACATACTGAAAAAATGCAGATTTTGTGATAAAAATCCGGAAACAACTGACCATCTTGTATCCGGCTGCGTGATATTGGCACCCACTGAATATAAAACACGGTATGTCACAGTGGGCCAATATCTGCACTGGAAAATCTTCAATACTGCAAGAAATTGGTATGAACATCACCTAGATCCGATTACAGAGATAGGACCCTATAACAATTTCATGGGACTTTACAATACACACAGAACAATCAAAGCTAATCGCCCTGACATCGTCATTAGAAACCGAAAGGACAAAATGTGCCTCCTTATTGACATGGCAGTCCATGCAGACTGCAAAGTATCTTTGAAGATCTTCAAAATACTATCAAAATACAAGGAACTTGAAATCGAAATCTCAAAAATGTGGTGCATGAGGATATTAACAATTCCAGTTGTACTTGGAGTCCTCGGATTGATTGAAAAAAATTCCAATAGACTCATTGAAGGGATTCCTGGTAGCTTATGCTTTAAAGAAATACAAAAAATTGTACTCGCAAGTACAGTTAACACCTTATGAGGGACTTTTCTAATATGTGTGATTTTTTTCAAAACTGTTTAGTGAAAAATATCATGATGCCATTTCTGAGCTTAGGTCTCTGGTGGAGACCCGGAAAGAAATGAGTATACACCAGAAATCAAAGGAATAATAATAATAATAATAATAATAATAATAATAATAATAATAATAATATACTTTCAAACTTTAGATCATTATTTTGAAGGCTTGGGCAGGGATAGCAAAGAAATAAATTATCATTGAAGCATTGAGGCATTGTTCAAAAATATGGAAAAAAATCTTTTTGGTTATTGGATAGGGATCTGGAAACTATACAAAAAACTGGCCTATTTGACACAGTAAGGGTACTTCGAAAAGTACTAGATACAGGCAGTCGACGAAAAGAAGAAATGACCGGTTTATTTTCTTCAATGACCTGAAAATTAACTTCTTGGAAGCGAAATAATAATAATAATAATAATAATAATAATAATAATAATAATAATTTGGAACATGAGAACATCAATAACTCCTGTTGTAGTTGGAACCCTCGGATTGACTAGAAAAGATTTCAATAGATTCATTGAAGAGATTCCTGATAGCCTTAAAGAAATACAAAAATTGTTTTTACGGGTACAGCCCACACCTTTCGAAGGGCTTTATCTATGTAAAATATGTGTGTGTGTGTATGCGTATTTTTTAAATACCAGGACTTCTCTTAGGATTTGGAAACGGCGAGAAACATGAAGTTAAGGACCGTATCTATAATAAATGACGTAATTCGGACTGTACGGAAAATAATAGATGCGAAATTGTATGAATTGGAGGTTCAAGTAAAGATTGATAGGTTGTAGACCACAGCAGTCGGCATGGATAACAAGAAAGTGTTAGAGATTTGATATGATTTGCGCTCATTCAATCTCCATTGATAGCCACGAGACATCTGATAGAACCTATCATAAAACGTGCCAGATGCCTATAAGGGGGGAATGAATGAAAGTGAAAAACTCGAAAAATATTGGGAAATAAACAAAAAAAAAACTTGTGAAACGTGATGGTGAAGAAAGAATAAAAGAAAGAAAAAAATCTTGCACGAAAAAGAGAAGGAAAATAAAAGTATAAAACAGAAATTAGAAAGCAAGAAAAAGAAAGAAGAAAAACGACTAAAGCATTATATGAAAAAGAGAAAGAAAAAAAATAAAGGTTTAAATAAAGATGAGAAAGAAATAATAAAGAAAGAAAAAAAAAAAAAAAAAAGAATAATTCGTAAATAAAAAAGAAAGATTATATAGAAAACAGAAAGAAAGATAGGAAAAGAAGAAAAAGGAGACAAAAAATAAATCTTACATAAAATAAAATAGAAAATCATAACAAAAAAGAACAAAAACAAAGAATGAATGAAATAAGCTAAAATATTGCAAAAAAAGAGAAAAAAAATAATCGATTAAAAAGTGATGAGAAACAAAGAAAGAATAAAAAAGAGACGTCGTAAATGAAAGAAAAAAAAAACGCAAAAGAACATTAAAAAGTAAAACAAGGCAAAAACAGAAATCTTACATGAAAAAGAGAGACAGAAAAGGAAATAAATCAAAAATTAAAAAGAAAGAAAAAGAAGCTGGAAAATTACTTTAAAAAGAGAAAGAACAAAAAAATAAAAGGCCAATAAGAAATGAGAAATAAATAAACAACAGAAACTATAGTGAAGGAAATGAAAATGAAATCTTAAACGAAAAAAATGAAAGAAAACGGAAGAAAGACACGGAATTATAAGACGAAAAAGAGAAAGAAAAATTACTAAAAAGTGATTAGAAAGAAAGAGAAAAAAGCCTAAAGAAAGAAAAATGAAAAAAAAAATAACAAGAAACTAAAGAAAGAAAGGATAAATAAGAAAGAAAAAAAGCGTAAAAGAGACAAAAACAAAAATCTTATCAGAAAAAAAAAATGAATAAGAAGTAATTGGGAAGAAAAAAATGAATGTCTTCCATAAAGAATAAAAGAAAGTAAAAGGAGATTTAGGAAAAATGAAAGAATAAAGAAAAAAATGAAGAAGTAACGAAATTGTATAGAATATACAATGAATGAATGATCAAAGAATGAATAAAGGATATTAAATATTCAAAAGAAAAAAAAAACTACAAATAATTCCAAGAAAACAATGAAGGAAGGATGAACGTAGGGAAAGAAAAAATAGAACGTGTCAATACATAATGAAATGAAGACAGCTCAAATGGATGAATAAAAAATAGTATATACGAAAATCGGCACGAAGAAAAAAAAATAAAAAGATAAAGAGAGAGAGTAAGATGGAAAGAGAAAGAAAGAAAGAGAGGGACAGGTAAGAAAACATTTAAAAAAAATGAAAGATAAAACATTTTAAAGAAAAGACGAGTCAAAGAAAAATCCAGTATATAAAAAAGAAACAGACGAAAAATTTGATGTTATGATTATAAGAAATACTGCATGAAGAATAAAAAGTATTTTACAAAAGAAACATGAATTTAAAAAAATGAAAGAGAATTTTGAAAAAAAAAATAAAGCAACAAGGAAAAGTAATTTTGTAAATATAGATTTTGAAATAAAAATGGAAGATAAAATAGAATTATAAATAGAATGATAATGCATACAGAGGTAGAAATGTGTATTATTTTTGGTATTACGCATGCGCGGGTATGAGAGCGTGCGAATTTATATAAATGGATGAAAAGAAAAACGTATGTTACAAAAAAAAAAAGCTTTACATGAAGATGAATACGTAAAAAGACAAGGTTCACTAGATGGAATGAAGAAAAAACTTTTACGTACACCTATGTGCATAGAAGCACACGTAGAAGAAGAAAAAGCATTTCAGATTAATATTTTACCACTAGGCAATGACAGATTTTACAAGGGGCAAATGTATCAACTGAAAGAAAAGCATTTAGCATCATTCCCTAAACAAAGTACTCAGCAGGTTTGAGGATCGGATTTTTGAAAGCTGGTTCTCACAAGGACTCCAACACTGTTCACTGTCACCAGAATAAATCCGCCTTCATTTATTTACCTGCTATTGCGCAAGCCTTGAAAGAGAGACGGAGAGAAAAACAGCCTGTAGGCAATGCGGATTTTATAAGTGCACAAATATAGAGACAGCAAAGGAAGGAAAGACGATTCTGTAGCTCTGTGGATCTATCTACGTCAGTCTATTCTTATCTATTCTATCTATCTATCTATCTATCTATCTATCTATCTATCTATCTATGCCAATCTATTCTTATCTATCTATCTATCTATCTATCTATCTATCTATCTATCTATCTATCTATCTATCTAGTTTATCTTTATCTATCTATCTATGCCAGTCTATTCTTATCTATCTATCTATCTATCTATCTATCTATCTATCTATCTATCTATGCCAGTCTATTCTTATCTATCTATCTATCTATCTATCTATCTATCTATCTATCTATCTATCTATCTTAGAATAATAGGTAGCTGAAAAGCGAGAGACAATAGCCAAACGGCCTGAAATATATGTCAAAAATGCAAATTGAACATATTTGTACCGAGTGATAAGGAAAACAAAAGGAAAAAAATAGATAGATTAAAAGCTAATATGTAAATATACAAACAATAAAAATCAAGAAAACAGAGAAGAAAAAAGATAAACAGCACAGTAGTATAGTGGCAGAGAAATATGTAAAACATAAAGGGAGAAAAAATCTTGACGAAAATAAGTCAAACTGAAAAAGGGAGAGAAAAATAAATTAAAAGGGAAAATAGACACAAAGAGTGTTAGAGAAACAAAAGGGAGGATGCAAATAAGAACTTTAGAAAAAGAAAAAGAGATTCATTGTTGGACAAAGGAAGAGAAAGAAAATAAAAGTGAGTGAAACAAGGAAAGAAAAGGGAGAAACAAAGAAAATGAGATATATATATATATATATATATATATATATATATATATATATATATATATATATATATATATATATATGGGGGAGAGAGAGAGAGGGAGGGAGAGAGAGAGAAAGAAAAAGAGAGAGAAAAATTTTCAAATCCTAAAATGATATATATAAAAAAGATGAGTCAGGCTGTACAAAAGAGAGAAGTGGAATTGAGAAAATGCACACATTCACAGAGAGGAAGAAAAAAAAAGGGAAAATAAGTGAGAAAAGAAAAACAATCGAAAACTGGAACTTAAAGAGAGACAAAATATATTAGTCAAACCGTACAAAAAGAAAAGAGGAGGGACATTAGAAGGAAATAAACAAATGATAGATAGATAGATAGATAGATAGATAGATAGATAGATAGATAGATAGATAGAAATAGAGACAAATAGAGACTGAACTATAAAACGAGAGAGAGAGAAAAGATCTAAGGGAGGAGAATAAAAACAAGAGAAATAGATAAAAACATTAGGAGAGAGAGAGAGAAGGAGAGAGAGAATATGTGTGAGATAGAGAGAAAGAAAGAGATTGAGGTAAACTGTGGGGCATTGGGATCTAAAATTTTAAAGAGAGTAAGAGAGAAATGTAAACTAGATCGACAAAGAGACGAGAATTAAAAGGAGAGAAGATTTGGAAGGAGGGAGGGAGGGGGAGAGAGAGAGAGAGAGAGAATGTTTTGAAGAGAAAGAGGCAAAGTGTACGCGACTGAACTCTGAAACCTGAGTAAAAGAGAAAAATATTAAGCAAATAGACAAAGAGAAGCGAATTAAAAGGAGACACCAAGGTTGATAGAGAGATAAAAAGAGAGAGAGAGAGAGAGAGAGAGAGAGAGAGAGAGAGAGAGAATGCCTAAGAGATGGGAAGTAAAAGAAATATAGAAAGATTGTGAGAAACTGAACTCTAAAACCTGTGTATGTGTGTGTGTGTGAGAGAAAGAACAAGAATTAGAGAGAGAGAGAGAGAATAAGATAGAGAAATAGAAAAAGAGAAAATGACAGAGAATAAGAGAGAGAGAGAATAAGAAAGAAATAAAAGAGAGAAAGAAGAAGAGAGAGAATAAGAGAATAAGACAGAGAATAAGAGAGAAAATAAAAAAGACAGAGAAAATAAGAGAGAAAGAATGTGAGAGAGTGTATAAGAGCCAGAATAAGAGGGACAGAAAGAATAAGAGAGGGAGAGAATAAGAGAGAGAGAGAGAGAATAAGAAAGAAATAAAAGAGAGAAAGAATAAGGGAGAGAATAAGAGACAGAGAATAAGAGAATAAGAGAGAGAATAAGAGAGAGAATAAGAGAATAAGAGAATAAGAGAGAGAATAAGAGAGAAAAGAGAAAATAAGAGAGAAAGAATGTGAGAGAGCGTATAAGAGAATAAGAGGAACAGAAAGAATAAGAGAGGGAGAGAAAGAGAGAGAGAGAATAAGAAAGAAATAAAAGAGAGAAAAAATAAGAGAGAGAATAAGAGACAGAGAATAAGTGAATAAGAGAGAGAATAGAGAGAGAATAAGAGAATAAGAGAATAAGAGAGAGAATAAGAGAGAAAAGAGAAAATAAGAGAGAAAGAATGTGAGAGAGCGTATAAGAGCGAGAATAAGAGGGACAGAAAGAATAAGAGAGGAAGAAAATAAGAGAGAGGATAAGAGAGAATAAATAAGAGAGAGTGGGAATAAGTGAGGGAGTATCAAAGAAAGACAGAGAATAAGAGGGCGAGATTAAGGGAAAGGCGTGGAATGGCGGATATGAGAGAACTCCCCGATGCAAAGTGAGGGTGGCAAGAATTAGAAAAGCGACTTTTTTTTCGAAAACAAAAAGGAAAGTTCAGTGTATTTATGTTATTCGTTAGAGTGTCTTTTCGGTGGATTACAGGGTAAATGCCGACATAATCCATAAAGCCTTTCTGTGCATCAAGCATATTCGTTTTTGTCTTTTTACTTGCATCTATATATAGCCGGTATGTATAAATGCGCCTGACAACCTGCACAAGTTGATTTGCACACACATACACACACACACACACACACACACACACACACACACACACACACACACACACATATATATATATATATATATATATATCTTTCCATGTAAACTTATGTACATATATATTTATATATATACTTAGTATATATATATATATATATATATATATATATATATATATATACATACATATATATATATATATATATATATGCACGTACATATATATATATGTATGCATGGACATATACATATATATATATATGTATGCTTATCGGTATTTTTAAAACATGTATATGTGCAATTATGTATGCATAATTTTATGTCTACATGTGAATATAGATGCATATAAGCACTTATGTATATAACATATATAATGAGAGGCATGAATACAGGCACACACACTCTCATACACGCACGCGGGCGCGCACACACACGCATATACACATAGATATGAATGCATATATATGTGAGAATGTATGCATTAAGTTTGTGTGCATTTTCATAAATATACACGCCTAAAAACATTAAATATGAAAATGTTTTCTGGAGTCTATATATATATATATATATATATATATATATATATATATATATATATGTGTATATATATATATATATATATATATATATATATATATATATATACGGCTATATGTATGTATACATGCATATATATATATATATATATATATATATATATATATATATATATATATATATATATATTATTATATTAAACAAATATATTTCTAACAAAGACAACGTAATTTAAAACATATAAATCCAACAAAATATGATCTATCCATTAAACGGCCAATGTGTAACTGATAACATTGTATACCGAGCGAGCATACATTCCGGTAACGATGGTAAATTTTATTTTGGTTCCACTGAAAATCCTTGGAAATTTTCTTTCTACCATCAGCAAATGATTTCAGACAATATAAAATACAGAAATAGCACTACTCTCTTTAGATATTTCTGGCAGTTAAAGAATAATGGTAGAAATGAGAGTTCAATACATAACCACAAAGTAAACGATTACTTGGAAAGTTGAGTTCATAAGGTAAAATAACTGAGATACCCACAGGCATGGCACGTGGGATTAGGACAATATACTAAATAGAGGGTTCGACTCGATATTCTAACGTATATCGCCAATAGAAGGCCGGAGCGTACAACGGCCGAAACGTCATGAATATGGTAATAACAGGACAACAGTTCGAAAAAAGTAAATTGTAACAATACGTCTTCTCAGAAATATAGACATTAAGGGTGCGATGAATAAATTGTCGTCTAAATTTCGTGTAAATGAAAATGAGACTGATATCTCAATTTAACAGATATTTACCAAAATTGCACAAAAAATATTAAGGAGTGAATTTATTCAATAAAATCGCAATTGGCATCAATCACAGATTCCAGATGACTTCGGAATCTCAGTACATCTCATGGCGGTGGACTTGTTAAATCGTCAGGCAAGTTGTCTTTCTGTTACACCAACATAGTTGTTTTTCTTTAATATATATATATATTATCTTTTTATTCCCTTCTCTCGTTTCAATATAGTTTTTTAGTCTATTTTTAAAAATATATTTTTCGTTTCAACAAGCTTTTTTATCCCTTCTCTCGTTTCGTTTCACACACACACACACACACACACACACACACACATATATATATATATATATATATATATATATATATATATATATATATATATATTCAAAAGAACAGAATCCAAGTAGAGCTGAATGTCTATGATAGAGCAATAATATTAGTGTTTGATCCTTTTATATTATTTTATATAATATATATATATATATATATATACACCACCCTCTATCTGTAATCCAACATTACCTTCTTCTGTCGAACATAGGATTAGCAACCTTTGATCGGACAAAGATGTGTTTGATAAATATAGAGGTGTGTACAATAAAGTTCTAAAAATAGTAGTTATAAGTACGCTAAAATCAAGTTTAGAAAATATGATGATAGTAGTCCAAAGAAAAGAAATATGTTCCTCCAATTGAGTGATAAAAATTTTCCTAGTAAAATATTTAACAGAAATACATTGAAACTAAGTTATAGCTACACCAATAACATAAGTTACACAATAAAATTTCAAACCAATTTAATAATCTGAATCATAATACACGTTCCAAGATAAATATTAATGATATTGCTCAATGTTATTGTAGCCCATTGCTAAACAAATATTTAACTAAATCTCTTGTTCCAAATTTGAAAATAAATAAATAATTGTTATAATTCTTTTTCTATCCTTTGCAAATGATTCAAATTTTAGTATGTTATTACGGATGATAACGACTACCAGTTGTGAAAATTTCAGCTTTTCACAGTTGTTATTTCTAACAAATATTAGGTTTTAAAATTTTGTCCCTTAGTTTTGGACGCTACTGTTATATATATATATATATATATATATATATATTTCGACGCCAAATAGATTTTCTATAGGAGTCAAATTCATAATCCTACGCCCGTAAAAAGATATTAGACAATAAGGTGAGCAAATTTGAATAAAATCTATTTTCACTCTTTAGAGTGTTTGAACTATTGTCGTCATCTTCTTTGTTATATTCCCGACGTTTTGGCTGTTGTACGCTCCGGCCCTCTTCGGGTCTTCTTCCATTAATAGGAAAGTGACCATCATATATTCGAAACTCCACCCACTTCGTGGAAATAATCAAAAATGCCCCCATCGAATCCAACCAGATGGTGAGCCTGGACGTGGTGAGCCCGGATGTGGTGAGATTGTTCTAGGTACTTACGGAAGGGGGCACTATCGGTAGTCAGGGACAGACTGGCATTCAGACTCATCCCTAGGAGAACTTACCGGTATACCAATAGATAACCTGATGGAGATGCTGACTTTCTGTACACAAAGAACATACTTCTGATATCCTATAATCAACAGGATAGCAATGGGCTCGCCATTATCACCAACAATGCTTAACATATACATGGAATACTTCAAGGAAATGGCATTAGATTCAACATCACTAAAACAAACTTTATGGTTGAGATAACGTAGATGACACCTTCATACTTTGGCCACACTGGGAAGAATTTCAGCGACTACTGGACAATGTGAACTCAATAAAATATTCTTCACAATAGGGAGAGAATAAAACAACAAATCAACATTCCTGGATGTCCTAATATCTCAAACAGAGCATGGCTTCAAGACATCCGTATATCACAAGCCAACATTCATCGCAGAAAACGCCAACTTCTACTCTCATCCAATGTAAAGAAAGGGATCGTCCGCTGCCTACAGCATCGAGCAAGAGTCGTAAATGGTGACATAGACTCATATGTACATGTGTCAGGGTAAGCTGTACTCTACAACATAACAACTAGCTTGGGAACATGACAGAAACTCCCACAAACTGGGATAGAATGGTACAAGAGGATAACAACACCCAGAAAACAGCTTCGGTCTGCCTACCCTATGCGAAGTGTTTCTCGGAAAAGATACAAAAAGATCTGTGGTTCATATAGCATTCAGGAGTGGTTCAACACTACGTAGATACCTCTTCTTTGTAAGATCACCCATAGAGGAGAATAGGATTAAAGACTGTGTACACCATCCCATGCAGCTGTGGCAAGAAACAGGCCGCCCCCTAAAAGTAATACACCATAAAACCATTACAAAAAGGGGAAATAAAAATCAGGCATGGCTAACCATATATAGCGTGAATCCATCACCATAATGCATAATAGACAGAGAAGATCACTGGAAAATGCGAAAACGTAAGGAATCAGCGCATATATTAGGCCACAGAAATACCCTAAGCCGGCCACACATAGACATGAATACAATATGGGAACCAGTAATAGAAAGAGCTAAAGAAAAACAACAATAATAAAAATTGCAATATGAGCTCTGGACCCAGTGGATAAAAGTGTTGACTGAAATAATCCAAAAGTGATTTGATCCAAAAAGTTCAATACCTGGCCGAGGTTGCGTTAAGTTACGAAAGGGAATTAACTGAAAAATGAAATATCCAGAAACTAGAACAATCTGCTGCGTTGACTGAATAAAGGGTTCGGTTTGGTTCGAAATTCCAGCGCATATCACCTGAAGAAGGCCGAGTGTACAACGACTGAAACGCCGTGAATATAACAATAAAGATGAGGACAACAGTCCGAATAATGTAAATAGTGTAAATAGTTGATTGAATTTGTTTAGTGGCATATCAACATCTTTGGGTTATTTAATGCCAAAACTTAAATATTTTGAACAATTTGAATATTTTCAACAAAACGAGTTGGTTATTTTGTTATAAAATACTTGTTAATAATTCTATTATAAAATGTATTGATGGTAAATTTACTATAAAGATGTATTGGTAATTATTTATGCAAATTTATATTGCTGGGATTTTTACTATAAAAATATATTTTTATACTTCCTTATTTTTTAAATCTTACTTTGGGTGTTTCCTATTTGACCATAGCCGGGACCCTAACAGGTGCTACCACCTCGTGTGGATCTAGGAACAACAGCAATTAATAGGTGGTCCATGTTCCTCCATCCTCCAATCTCCCGATCATAGACCTTGTCGAAAGTAGTTTATAGTCATATTCAGGACGGGACGATGACACCAACATGCGGCTAGTGGTAATGGGTTACAGAAACACTCGTAGACTGACCTGACAATTTTCCAAACAATTTAACAAAGAAAAAGGTAGACTCTCAGCTAAATAAAATTGGAAATGCAACGTATGATATTATAAATATATCTCCAACTAGACGTTAGAAATACTCAATTTCTTGTCAGCTTGTCTAAAAAAAAAAAAAAAAAACTATCCATGACATTTCCCCAACCTACCTGTATATGTGTGATTTACCCCGTCTTTTTACGTATGCACTTTGGAAATTACTTCTTGGCACGGGTAAATTTCCTTATTTGCATATATTAGGGTCTGCTCCAAACACTTGTACATATTTATAAGGCAATGTACCTGCTTGCTCGCTGAAGTCAGGCATACGGGTAAAGTTTGAATTTTTTTCAAAGGCTTCATTGAAAAGTTTTGTAAAGTTATATTGAACTTTAAAAGGGGTTGTTTAGCATAGACGTATATTTATGATATGTTAAAGTTTAATAAAAAAAAGAATAGAAAATTGTAAGAATGAATGAATGAAATGTACTGAAAAAATGGACAAAAATAAATAATAAATAAAAATAAATAAAATAAATTGTTTGATATGTGGAGGACAAACACTTTGAACGAATAAATGAATAGAAACAGTATTCTATGCAGATTTTTTATTTCATAATTAGATAGAAAGACGTTTGTAGACGTATTTGAGAATTCAATGATTTTGAAAATGTTAAGGATGAACAAAGAAAGAAAGAATGAAAGAAAAAAAGAAAGAAAGAAAGAAAGAAAGAAAGAAAAGTTAACATTTGAGAATTCAATGATTAGAGGAAGAGTGATAAAATAGATATAGATGAACAAAGAGTGTTTTATATTACAAAAAAGAAAAGAAAGAAAGAAAAAAGTTACCCAACTACAAAAAAAGAAAACGATAGATAGAAAAAAGAAAGATAGAAGAAAGAAAAAAAGAAAGAAAGAAAGAAAGAAAAAGATTCAAAAAGACAAGCCAGTTTAGAAAGTAGCTATCTAAAAGAAAGAAAGAAAGAAAGAAAGAAAGAAAAGTTACCCAACTACAAATGGCAGGGATATGAAAACGATAGATAGATAGATAGATAGATAGATAGATAGATAGATAGATAGATAGAAGAAAGAGAAAAGAAAAAAAAAGAAAGAAAGGAAAGAGCGGATTTTCAGGAATATCACATGGATACAAAAGTAGCCATCTAGCTAACTGGGAAGCTCGCTAGAAAGAAAGAAAGAAAAGAAAGAAAGAAAAGAAAGAAAGAATGGAAAAGTTACCCAACCAAACAAATGGCAGGGATATGAAAAACGATAGATAGATAGATAGATAGAAATTGAAAGAAAGAAAGAAAGAAAGAAAGAAAGACAAAGAAATGGATAAAGAAAGCTAACTAAGCTCGCTAGAAAGAAAGAAAGAAAAGAAAAAGAAAGAAAGAAAGAAAGAAAGAAAAAAAAAGTTACCCAACTACAAATGGCAGGGATATGAAAACGATAGATAGATAGATAGATAGATAGATGAAAAGAAAGAAAGAAAGAAAAGAAAAAGAAAAGAAAGAAAGAAAGAAAAAAAAAGAAAGAAAGAATAGCGGATTCAAATGTCAGAATATCAAATGGCTAAGGCTAAAATATAGAAAGAAAAGAAAGAAAGAAAGAAAGAAAGAAAGAAAAGTTACCCAACTACAAAATGGAGGGATAGATAGAAATAGATAGATAGATGCAAGTTCAAATGGCAGGAATATGAAAAAGTGAAGAGCAAAATTGTGATAATAAGAAATAGCATCTTTTACGATATTTCAACTTGCTGAGCATTTCAAATTCATTCTTTTAAGTCTCATTGCAACCTAAAATACTATAATCAAGAGCTGGTTCCGAGCAATGCAAAGATGAAGTTTTCGGAAAAAAAAAAGTCCTAGAATTTTTTTCTCAAAGTAGGATTTCGCCAAAAAATAATACTTATTGTAATAAAAACCTTTTTCATGTCATCATTTTAGTGAAGTGAATAAGATTTGTATTAAGGGTCCCAATGGGGTGAATATAATTCGTATTGAGGATCCTAATTTAAACCAAGAACATATTCTCTATACCACTGCACCACCATTAGCCTGAACTGTTGATAAGATAAGATCCACCTTTAATGTTTTTTTACGCTAAATCCTGGACCTGCCATCCGAACATCCCAACAGAAATCAAGGTTAATCTGACCTGGCAGCACATTTCTAATATTCTATTGCTCCGTTTTTGTCACCCAAAGTAAGTTTTAACCTACGTTTCTCATTGTTACCTAAAAAGAGAGACACCTAGCCTGGTCTTCTGCTGCTGTAGCTCAGCTGATTCAAGGTTCGACGTGTTGTACTTTCAGTGATGCTCTTCTGTATCCCTCCATTGTAAAGAGTGGTTATTTGAGCTGCAGTTGCCCTTTTATCAGCTTGAACCAATCCGAACATTCTTCTCTGACTTCGTTCAGAGAAGAATTTAATTTTAACATACAGATCTTCTGCCCACTTTTGGCCATTCTCTGTAAAGATGTTTATTTTTACATATAGTAGATTAATAGTTTTTGCAAGAGTAAGACTCCACTCCAAGACACCAAGGACAATGCTGAGTTCAAAGTCACTTAAATTAACTTTTTTCTTATACTAATGCCAGATTTGAAATCCAGTAGTTCACCATAAACATGTTTAAATGCCCATATCCTACGCCATTGACTGATTAGAACTTTGCATGCAGAGTATTTGACCCCGCGTGCTTAATTATGTTACTAGTGAGTGTATATCAGACTGTTGCTCACGATAACGCGCCCTCGCCCAGAAACTATAGCTGAGGCCCACTTTGCATAGTTGCAGTATAAACCACAGGTAAGCTTTGTGGGTGTTGAGCCTGAACAGAAGTCTGGAATAGGTATTGGCTAATAATTATCAATCTAACATGTTTCTTATTTTATTAAAATTTCATCATAGAATGAGAGATGGAGAAAAAGAAGAAAGAAAATCTGTTATTTTTATTTTTATTTTGTTTAATTTTCATTAATCATGTTTCAAGTCTACTCGACTTGTAAAACAAACGTTAGTATTTGTGTCACCTCTCGTTGAATTCAGAACGCCACAAATTATGCTAATGTTGCTTTAAAAAATCGAACATTTCTGAAGTAACATAGCATTAATATAAAATCAATGATACATTACCACTTGCTTCTTTTTTTTGTTCTCGTTTCATTGATTGACTCATTTGTTTGTTTGTTTTTTTACAGTTTATCAAGCTTTTGCCGGTAATTTGAAGTCAGAATATATGTTTAGATTATAAGAATATTTTTTGATATAATAATGATTTATTGATACAAGTTCTACAAATTAACCAATAGTTCAAGGAAGAAGAGGTGGATTCACACATTTCCCAAGGGTATTTGTATATAAGGCGAATATAACGAACTCGACTGGAATTGGAACTTTGTTCTCTGATTTACAATTCTGAGCCGTTATCAATTACACATCCAAGTTTAGTGACTTGGTAATATTGTGCATGTCGGTTGATTTTCCTTTTTCATCAAGTATGAATGGATGAAGTATGTGTGGTCCATGTGCAGCGTTACCTTATCCGCTCCAGCCATCTTCAGGTGGTTGGAATGTCGAACTGAATCCTTTATTTCGCTCACTGGGGTAGATTCTTCTAGTTCCACCTGCCATGTTTAATGGATGTCAGTTATCAGTTATCTCCTGTTAATTCCCCTCTCCAAGTTCTCCACCGCCTTAACCGGGTATTGAACTCAAACTCTTTGGCTCCTGTCACTGGATCTAACTAACGCTTTAATCCACTGGAGACATCTGTGTATGAATTTCTGGGTATTATTCTGGGTATGATAGTCCGAGCAATGTAAATAGTGTACATAATAGCTCATGTCAGAAATATAGACAGAAACTGTTTATTTTACTTTTCAGGTTCGCTTAAGCAAAGTAAAAGAAAGAATAATGAAAAATAAAAAGTAAATTGAAAGAAAAAGCAATAATAACACACCGGAAGAAAGAAGTAAAACAAAAAGATATGAAGAATGAAATAAATGAATAAAAAAAAATTAAACCAAAGAACTAAATGAACTATAGAGTATCATAAAAAATATAAAAGTAAAATTTTATAAGAAAACTGATGAAGTAAAAAAAAAATACATATATACATATTTTACAACGTTTTTATGTTCTTGTTTTATTTTATTTATAATTTTCATTATTATTATTATTATTTTATATTTTGTTTCTATTTATTTATAATAATAATAATAATAATAATAATAATAATATCACAAACAAAAACGATGCCTCTTTATTGATATGGCAGTCCCTGCTGACTGCAATGTATCTTTGAAGATATTCAAAAAGTTGTCAAAGTACAAGGACCTTGAAATAGAAATCTCGAAAATGTGGCATATGGGGAACATCAACAATCCCTGTTGTAGTTGGAGCCCTAGGACTGGTTGGAAAAGATTGCAGTAGACTAATTGAAGGGATTCCTGGAAGTCCATGCCTCAAGGAGATACAAAAAAATTGTTCTGACAAGTACAGCCCACCCATTACGAATGGGCTTTATCTATGTAATTTTATTTTTTTTTTTTTTTTGTCAGTGGAAAGTGTCATGACGCCATTTCTAACCTTAGGTCCCTGGGTGGGACCCGGAAAGAAATGTGTAAACGCCAGAAATCAAAGAAAATAAAAATAACAATAATAATAATATTCCTACAAGAACTTAAAATTAATTCACCATATAAAAGACAGAAGAATAGCAATTAACAGAAAGAACATGAAAGAATTATCAAAAAAAAAAAAAAAAAAACAAGAGAAAAACTATAACTAATAAAAAAAAATAAGTAAAATAATGCAAAATAATATAAAAAAAATATTTTATTGGTGTGAATTCAAAAGAAAAAGAAAGAAGCAATTATGAAGCAGAATAAATATTCATTAATAAAAGAAAACACAAGAGAAACTATCGGGATTTAAAAGGAAGAAAAAAAAGTTGCCGTCAGTGCATAGAGCTCAATAAAAATATTTAAACTTCGAAGCAGCCATGAATACAAATGTATGACGATTTTCTACTCTATGAATTTCATTTTGTATTTGTTTAAGTGGGCGCCATATTTCTATCAATGGTTCCAAAACGAGGCTGACTGAGAGCGAATTGATTCAAATCTCTTTGTTATTTTTTCGTAACAATCTCTTTTAAAATTCATCTGTTTACTATTTTTTATTTTAAAATTTAAACATCAAAAGTTATTTAATGAACAAAAAGGAAGGCAAATTTTGCATTATTTTTAATCAAAAGTATTCGTCATCTTATTCTCGCTCTTTATACATAAATACATACATAAAAACATATATATATATATATATATATATATATATATATATATATATATATATATATATATATATATATATATATATATATATCATTCTCCATCTGTCTCTGTCTATATGTATGCATATGTTTATATATTCTATTCAACCTACACACATCTATCTCTATACATACCTATGATTACCTATCAATTAAACCAAAACTTGAACTGTCTGAGAGGCGAAAAGGATAAAAGCGAAAAATCATAATCGATACACTGTCGTCTCCTGAAAGTCGGTGTTCAAATATGATAAACACCCAGCTTTTGAATCTCCAGGACAATACGAATTAACTCTACACAGTCGAAAAAAATGATGGTGGTGGGACTCAAAATTATCGTCTCGTCAAAGAATGTTACACAAAAAGAGAGACATTTTAAAAATAGGACTTTCTCCTTAAATGACAGCTCGAATACCTGGCCATGAGTAGATTTAATAATAATAATAATAATAATAATAGAAGGAAAAAGTAGGAATGCAAATAATAAATAAAAGAAATAAGGACAGGAGAAAATAAATCGAAGAAAATAGACGTAATAAGAAGGAAAAAGAAAGAGAATATGAATAAACAAAAGAAAGAAAGAAAGAAAGTAAGAAAAAGAAAGAAAGAAAGAAAGAAAAGAGAAAAAATGTACAAATAAAAGGAAGAAAGAAAAGAAAAATGAAGTAAAAAAATGAAGCTAAAAATTAAAATAAAAACCATTAAAATAAAACAAGGAAAAATATGAAAAAGAAATAAAAGAAAAACGGAAAAACAAAACAAAAAAAAAACAATAAAATGAATAAATAAAAGACAGAATGGAGAAAGAAAGGAATCTGAGAATGTAAAGAAGAGATAAAAAAAGAACGGGAAGAATAAATAAAAGAAAAAAATACAAGAAAGAATGAAAATAGAAATAAGCGAATAGAAAAATGAAAGATAAAAGAAAAAAGAGAAAATAAGCAGAAAAAGGACTAAAGAGGCAGCAAACATAAGACTAAATACTAAAAAAATAACAAACGATAAGGTATGATATAATAAAAATGATGAATTAAAATTTGAAAAGGAAATACCATTATCCCAGGTAGCATTATTTCTGTATGTATATTTATCTAAAGGATCATATATCTTCCACCTTTTTATTGAGGCACTGGGTCCACAGCCTTGAAATATTTTAGAAAAAACGCAGGAAGGCTAGCCTATTTTGACTGACGTAAAGAAAACCAAACCTTTCTACTTTCTATTGTTGTGTTTCTTACCTTATTTAAACATTCAAGTCCTTACCCTAAACTACTTAAAAGAAAAAGAAAATCCCTACCACCGACAAGCCTACCGCAAGGATTTATGAGAATTACGCCCCCCCCCCATACATAGAAAAGCACTCTACATGTTCCAGCGCTCAAGATTATATATATATAT